ATTTCATTGCATTTTTTATACGCCGCCATGTGACACTAAGCTTCAATCTCCACACCCTTTTGTTACTTCTTTGCTTTTCTGGTTTCTTCTTGCCCATGTTTCTCATTGGCGACAACTCCATTTTCTCCATCGATCAAAGGAAAAAGCTTGTAATATGTACGATATGTGTGTATGTATATATATTATGGGCTGAAAACTGAAAACTGGGTTTGTTTTTCCTGCAAATGCCATGGAAGGGAAGGGTTTATAATGGTGATTCATAGTTGCAAGGAACTTTCTGAGTTATGAGCTGCCATCCACATCTCGATGGAGACTGACAAGTCAATTGGGGACTGAATTAAACAAATGATATATACTATAAGTTGTTAACGTGAATTTGGTTAAGGGTTAACCATATACGAACCATTGGCGGCTATGACTCGGACAATAATATAAAAATAAGGTCAAATTGTATATAAGGTCCTTGTCGTATGCATACTTTTATGAATTTTATTGTTGTACAACAACTCAACTAGTGAGATAGAAGCTTATGGTAGATGTGGGCGATTTACTTTTTCTGATATAAGCAAAGTGTTAATGGAGACTATAGTTGATGGAAGATTGTGGGTTATCTCTTTGATATGCACAAAAAATCGTTATAAAACGATGGTATTAAAAGATTGTCATAATAAAAATATCACGTCAATAATAGTTCTATTAAATTTTTAATTGAAAATAATTAAAATGAAAATAAAAAATAAAGTTAGATATGATTTAAAAAAATTAGTTGAGTGACTAAAATGAAATAAAAGTGATAATTAGAGTATTAAATGTGTAATTTACTCTAAAAGCATACATAATTGGTGAATTTCAATAGGTGACAACAAGAGGTAGTTAAAGTAACCCTAGTTAATATAATTTCTTCCTTGTGGGGTGGTTGGGTCAATTTAATACTAAAGTGAGAAAGAAGGGGTCAGATCGGCATCACCCGTAAGGGCTAAGCTACCCTTAATTCACCTAATAATGTGTACTTTAGGGTAGACTAGGTCAGCCTTTTTGGTATAAAAAGAAGAAGAAGAGAACGTGTCTACTTGTATAGCTTACATTTGTAAGTTGGACGTATTCAATATGACCGTGGGATATGTTACTTGTACTACTGGTCTAATTATGATGGTAGTCTCTCTATTGCCTAAAAATTCAAAATTTAATCCTTTATTTTATTTGGTGTGATTTGATCCTTTATTGCTATAATGTTATTCATAAGTTTAAATTGATAGGATAAATACCATTGTTAAAATGATTATGTGTTTTTTTCAAATAAAAATTTAATAGTTGTGTAAATATTAAGGAAAATTATTGTTCAAACCAATGATAAAATGTAAGCAGGATCAGAAAGGGTTATGGTATCCATGATTTTGAAAAATTATTAATAACCCCTCTAAATATTTTTAAAAGCTTCCATTTGCCCCTAAAATATTTTGAATTTTTATTTCTCTTGATTTTTTGAATTCTTATTAGTCTATATTTATTTAAATTTAAAAAAATTTGCTTAAACTATCAAAATCTCTCCTTATCCTTAGATAAAGGATTATTTGCTCATTTGGGGTATTTGCTACAGTTTAAGGGTTGGTCGCCAGGTCCTCTGGGCGACCTCCATAGGTCGCCAAGTCCTCCAAACGTTCAAACATTGGTTTCTTAAATTTCCTATAAGTAACAGTGATTACCTACATCAGTAATTAGGCTTTTAGTCAAAACCTCCATAGGTCGCCAAATCCTCCGAACGTTCAAGCATTGATTTCCTTGATTTCCCATAAGTAACAGTGATGACCTACATATGTAATTAGACTTTTAGTCGAAACCTCCACAGGTCGCCAAGTCATTCGAACGTTCAAACATTTGATTTCCCATAAGTAACAATGATTACCTACATCGATAATTAGGATTTTAATCGAAACCTCCAAAATTAGACCATATTTTATAAAATATTTTTTTTTCACAACTTTACAACAACAAATCAGCCTGAATTTAGGATCCGTTTAGTAATATTATCTAAAAAAAAAATTTGGTTAAAAAATTTATTTTAACGGTAAAATCAAAGTCAAATGGATAAACATTAAAAAAATGGTGGAAATAGTGATCTAAAATCAACAGCGAAAGTTATGATTTTAATTTTAATTAAATTTATATTTATACCCTTATTATGAGTTTCACTCATTTCAGTCATTTGCCTTGGAAAATAACTTTAAAATTTAATTTTTTTATTAACGATGTATTTACATTTTATTTTAATAATTTAATACTAACGTCTTTAAAAATAATTAATTGCTTAGAAATTTATTTTGATTACTTAAAAATAAATAAACTTTATGATTTATATATTAAAATATTAATATTGATTTATTATAAAATATATATTTATTATAGATATAAATTTTTATTTGTATTTTTTATATTTTTATTATAGTTTAAATTGATATTTCATTTATAATAATATTTTTAACTTTATTTATATAATATATCTATATATATTATTTTTTATTTTTGAATGATTAAAAGGATAAATATATGCTTTAAATCATTTTATTTTAAATTTTAAATAAGTGATTGTGGTTAAATTTAAATAACTAAAATACTATTTTAAAGTTCAAATAAAAAATTGGTAATACAAATTTTCTTAATAAAATATTTCATGTATAAAAATATTATTATCTTATATTTTTTTTTTACAATTTTATTAGTCATCTATCATTCGGAGCTATGTCATGTCAACATGTATGTCAAGTTTTTAATGACATGATATTAAAATGAAACAAAAAATAAATATTATACATGATTTTTTAAAAAAAATAGGTATTAAAATAGACTAAAACTGATAATTTAGATACTAAACGAATGGTTTACCCAAATATAAAATTAGAAAATTTTGTATTGTGTCATTTGACATTTTCCCCTCTTTATCTCATATTATTTCTTTTAAGAGTGAGCAAAATTCGATTTGATTCAAAAAATTGATCTTGAAAATTTTGACTCGAATTGATTTCGAGTTCTAATTTCATAAATTCGACTCAACTTGGATTTTTTTTCAAATCGAGTTGTAAGATATAAATTGAATTACTCAAAAATTTTAGTAATTAGTGGATTGATTTAAAGTTTGATTCGAGTATTTCGACTTTATATGATATTTGTATATCATATATGAAAATAATATAAAGAAATATATATGTATTGTATATGGTTATATAAAATAATTTAAATTTAAATAAAACAATATCATAGTATAATAAAAAATTACAAATATATTTATACACAAACTCAAAAATTCGACACGGTTCGAATTCTATAAATTCGATTTAACTCAAAAAAATTTGAAATCAAATTCGAATTATAAAATAGGGCTCGAAACTCTAATAACTCAAAATTTTTTGACTTAACTCGACTCAATCGAACACTCATCCTACTTTATTCTCTCAAGTGATTTTTTCCTTTCAAAATCAAATTTGAAATTATTTTCTTTTTAATTTTATCTATATCTAAAAAAGAAATTAAAAAAATATTTTACTCGAATATTGATTTTTTTTAGTATCATTTTTTTTTCTTCCTACTCATATATTCTCACCATCCAAATCTTCAAAAGAAATTTTAAATTTCTTTAAAAAAATTTAAATAATGCTCTCTTTTTATGGTCGCTTGCCTTTTATTTTTAATTTTTAAAAAAAATTATTCACATTTTATAATTCACACGTGTTTCTAAAATTATATTTTCTACAGTATTTTCCTTTTTATTTGCCATATCCAAAGGCATGGTGACAGAGAGTTACCTAACACACGAATTAGTTTGGGATTACATGTATCAACAGTTCAACAGTAACGGAGTTTCAATCATTCCGTTACAATTTAATTTATCTTTTAATTAAATCAAAATTCAATACTCGTTAGTTTTTGTGTCGATGGTAATTTACTAGTCAAATCTTAAACAAAATATTATTATAAATTTAATTAGTCATATAATTTATCATTTATATTATAAATTTAATTAGTTATATAATTTATGGCAATTTACATGATTTTTTATTAATCAAATGAGTTATCTATTGTTAATAATAATATTTTATTCTAAAATAATCAAAATTTCAATAACCAAAAACCTAACCATGAATTATCCACACAAAAAAAAAAACCTAACCATGGTTTGAGATAACCACGTGCTAACCGATGCTCAAAAGTCAAAACACATTTATAACTTACCTTCATTATTTAATTAATGAAATAAAGAAAAAAAAACACAATATATATTATAAATTTGATGCAAGGGACATATGTCTGAAATATCGAGCTAATATCACGCGTTGAATGTCAAAGCTCCTGAGTCCTTCTCCTACCTAATTTTATTAACATAATGAATATAATATCTGAATATTTTATTTAATAATGAGATAATATTCTTTTATAATTTTAAAATTTTAAATTCAATCAAATTATAGATGAAACAATTATTCTAATTTGTATATTATTTTTTGAAATATTTTTAGATTATAAATACGACGATAATTCAATTTGAATTCAACCGGTGATTTAATCTTGCTTGAAAGGTTAAATTTTTTCTTTAAAAATATATTCGAGTTAGATTTGATGTTGTAAAGACAATTTTAGAATAAAAAGTTATTGATTTGACCTAATTTAATCGATATTTCTCTATATATTCAAAGATAATTAATATGATATCTTTATATATATTTTTATTTAAAATTTAATTTATTGAATAAAAAAATATATCTATTTATATAAATAAGGTTGGGTCAAATATTAGTTTTTATTCTAAATTTAATCAAATGGGATAAAAATGGAAAAGGGTACGGAGGTCGCTCTCAGCTTTGTCTGCGCAAACGTGTGAAAGTCCGATGAACTTTTATATATTTTTCAAAGGTCAAAACCAACGCGTGATGACAATTCAACTTCACCAAGTAAATATACATATATATATATATATATATATATATATATATGCAATGATACAGTTTCCTACACTTTAAAAGTTTTAACATCAATAATCGAACACCCCCCGAGATTTCCTGCTATAATCTACAACTCTCAAGCTTTCCTGTTCCATAAAAAATGGCCCTTTCAACAATGATCCATACCAATCTTCCCACCGCCCTCTGCGGCGGCGCTGTTAACCGGATTTCCGTCATTTCCGCCCACCAACAGGCCTTTGTCGATTCGAAGCTGAACCGGGGTGCTCGACGTTTGGCTGAATCACTGACAAGTCTTCTCCATCTAAACATCGAACCTCCGTCAAGGAAAAATCTTGAATACTCGAACCCAGATTTGTTTGCTGAAGAAAAACATAACACCCCAACTACGTCTCCCAAGGAGATGATCGCCGAAAAATGGCGTCATCTTCACGGCTCTACGGATTGGGGGAGCCTTTTAGACCCGCTCCACCCTTGGCTGCGGCGTGAAATCGTCAAGTATGGCGAGTTCGCTCAAGCGACATACGATGCCTTGGACTTCGACTCTTTCTCCGAGTACTGCGGGAGTTGCAGGTATAATCGCAACAAGCTGTTTGAGAAACTGGGGTTGAGTGAAAATGGCTATAGGGTGACGAAGTACATCTACGCCATGTCCACCATCGATATGCCGCGGTGGCTTGAGCGGTCGCGGTTGATGGATACCTGGAGCAAAGATTCCAACTGGATGGGTTACGTTGCGGTTAGCGACGATGAAGAGACGCGGAGGATCGGGCGGAGGGATATCGTGGTGGCATGGCGGGGCACGGTGGCCCCGTCTGAGTGGTACGAAGATTTCCAAAGGAACCTCGAACCGATCGGGATCGGCGATGCTAAGGTTGAGCATGGATTTCTTAACATTTACACTTCCAAGAACAAGTCCACACGGTACAATAAGTCGAGTGCTTCGGAGCAAGTGATGAAAGAAGTGACGACGTTGGTTCAATTCTATAGAGGACAAGGAGAAGAAGTGAGTTTAACGATAACCGGGCACAGCTTAGGCGGTGCATTGGCACTGCTCAGTGCATATGAAGCCGCCGTCAATCTCCCCGGCGTTCCGGTAAGCGTGATCTCCTTTGGTGCACCTCGAGTCGGCAACAACGCCTTTCGGGACGAGCTCTGTGATTTAGGAGTCAAAACTTTAAGAGTGGTGGTTAAGCAAGATTTAGTCCCTAGAATGCCAGGGATTGTTTTCAACGAGAGTTTGCAGAGGTTTGATGATATAACAGGAACATTAGAATGGGTTTATACACATGTTGGTGACGAATTGAGGCTCGATGTTAGTTCGTCACCTTACCTTAAGCGTGGTTTCAATCCGATGGGATTTCATAGCCTCGAGACGTACCTTCATCTTGTCGATGGGTTCCACGGTGCAGGGTCTGCGTTTCGATCTGATGCTCGTAGGGATGTTACCTTGGTGAACAAGGCATGTGATATGTTGGTGGATGAACTAAGGATCCCTCAATGCTGGTACCAATTGGCTCACAAAGGGTTGGTTTGTAATGAACACGGCAGATGGGTTAAACCAAGACGAGAACCCGAAGACATTCCTTCACCGATCGGAGATCAAGCACACAAACATAGTCTTAGAATTCAGATTTAGGAAAATCATCAAATGTTGTACGCAAGCTCTCAAACTTGACTGTATATTGATCAAGAAATGCAAAGCATTTTTCAAGGCAAAGTTCACTTCTAAATCAATCCGATCCATATATATATATATATATATATATACAGAAATTTACTTGTGCGAATACATATATGTATACATTTAGGTGTGGTTCACTTACAGCCAAGTATTCGATCAAATCGGCAAGACAGTCTTCATGTCCTTGTGCATTGTTCTAATCACGGTTATAACCTGCTCAATCTGATCTTCACTAGAACAAGCAGAGAGAAGTACCTTGGCAGTTCATCCGGATAACAGCCGGAGTCGATCATTTCCTCAAAAATTTCTAAGCATCTTGTATATAGTTTCTTTCTAGAGTAGGCTCCGAGCCGTGAAGTCCAAGTTACCACATCAGGCGCAAATTCTTCTCAGGAAGCGACTCGAACAATTCTTCCATCCGGTCAAAAAAGCCAGCCCGTCCGTAACATTGATCAGAATGTTGTATGTGCTAATATCAGCTGCATAAGGTCCCTTTTCCATTGAAGTCAAAACTTTCTCCATGTTTTCAAATTGACCTAACTTGCCACACAAGTTCAACATACTGTTGAGGACAAAGGTATCTGGTTGAAGTCCAGATTCCTGTATTTGGTTCACAATATCCTCACACTTAGCTATATTGCCGACTCTGGAGTAGGCAGAGAGAAGTAGCATGTGAGATTTCATCATCGGTGTTATTCCTAGCTTCTTCATCTCTTCAAATACCGATTCAGCGTCTGAAAATACACAGGACTAGAAAAATATCATATGCTAACTAATACGAGTCCGATAATATCTCGAAAATCATGCAAGTGATGATGAAATGCATGCAGTCTGGGGTTAGTCCTTGGTAACACCATGTTCTTGATTTTCAATAAAGATATTTACCCTCATAAAGGCCAGCTCTACCATATGCATCAACCATGATATTAAAGGAAACTCTGTCTGGCTCACACCCCATGTGCTGCATGAGTGAAATTACTTCGGCCGCCCCGTACGGATAACCTGCACGACTGTTGGGGATAAGAGAGTCAACAAAGCTCTGCATCAGAAGAACGATACTCGAGCCGAACTCAACTTCAGCTACTCCAGGGTATAAGGAAGTAATAGAATGATAAGGGACTTGAACCTGTAAGCTTCCATGAGGGCATTGTAAGCATACATATCAGGCTCGTGCCCGGCTTCTTGAAGCTGTTTGAAAATCTCTTCGGCCTTCTCACAGAGTCCCTCCCTGGTGAAAGCATTCACCAGAGCCATATATGTGCAGATGTTCAGTTTACACTTTTGACTTCTCATTTCATTAAATAATTTCAAGGCCATATAAGATTTACTTGCCTGCACAACAAATTAGAATATATGAACCTCCGAATTATGTTCGCCAAATAACATAGGATCATCGTGATAGTTTTAGTTTACCTTCCCATATAAGTTGATCATCAGTGTGTACGTTTCGGTATTCGGTTGACATCCATCTCGCTTCATCCTCTGAAAGATTTCTATGGCCTTTTGGGAGTTTCCTCCCTTCATCTACCCATCAATATAAGCATTGTAAACAACTGCACCTGAATTTAAGAACTTTTATGTAAACGATTGCACCATTCAACATCAAAGATCATGTAACACCCCAATTTAGGGGCTAAATTTAAGAAAATATAAATTGGTGAATTTAATTGGTAATTTTGGAAGAAATTGGGGATTAAATTATAAGATTTCAAAGTTAGCAGACCGTTTTAAGAAGTGTAGGAAATTCAGTGGCTAAACCCATGATTTAGCCATTTTTATTTTGGAGAGAATTATAAATCTCTGATCTACTCCTCTTTGAACTCTGATCTACTCGCTGTCCGACCTCCGATCGACGAGCTGAAACCACCATCGTGTTCATTGTCGAGCGAGGAACAAAACCCCTCAAACCTTTTGTAGTGAATCGTCGTCGTTCGTCGTTAATTTCAGTCGGAAGTATAGTCGTAATAACCCGGTTTTAGTTGGGTTTTCATCGATTCACGACGATCGGGTCATCCGTTTACGACACCTCCCGCACCATCGTGTTCGTTGCATCGTTCTGAGTACGCCGGTGTCATTCTTGGTCTCTGTAGACGGCGGCGCGTGAGGAGGTAAAGCGGTCAAAGTTTTCGATTCATTGAAATCGAGCTCTCCGCCGTTCAAAAAATTGAACCGAGCTTAGTAAGTATCTCGAAATCGCTTAAAATAATTTTTAGAAATTTTTCCGGAAATTTTCCGATATCAGGGCATTGCTCACGCGCCGCCACTACGCGTGGGGAAGGAAAAATGACCGGTTTGACCGGTTTTGGTGCATAGTTGACCGGTCATAACCGGACCCGACCCATTTACCCAACCCGTTGACCCGACCCAACCCGTTGACCCGACCCGTTGACCGTTGACCGGCGTTGACCACTGTTGACCAAAACTTTGACGGGCTTAAACGACCTTTGTTTTTGACTGAGTATACATATCCTGACATTTTTCGACGTTCCAAATCCGATTCCGCAATCCGTTTTTCAAAATTAAGACCAGAAGGCCTCGAAATTGCCGGTCCAACCCGTTGACTATGATTTTGACCTAAAATTCCAAATTTTTGAAAAGTCATATTTTATGCTTTCGACGTCATGAATCCGAATCCGAAGTCCGTTTCGCCAAATTCGAACCCGATAAGCTGTCTTTCACTGATTTATCACCCGATTCGATCCGTTTATCGCAAATAAGCTTCGTTTCTGATATAATTTATGTTGATATGTATCTGAGGAATTATTAGAAGTTGAATTGAAGATCAAAGGCATTCGAATGGAATTTTTATGGTCGATCAGTATTGCACGGAAATCGAGGTAATACTGTACTACCTCTTTATGCTTTATGGAACATGTTTATATTGATAAATGCATGAACAAGATAATGTTGGTCACTTTGGTGGAGTTGAATAATTTATACACTCGATATGATGTGATAGAAATTCTGTAACTAATTACGGATCGAATGACTAATATAAGAGATTGAGGAATTGTTAGATTAAATAACAAGTTTATGATTAGTGATAAAGGAATCAGCCATGTATCTGCAACTTATAATTTATTTCATCAAAGGTTAAATGTTAAAGGTAATTGGATGAGAAATTATGAGAATACTCCGGTATGCTAAAATTACGAAAATACCCTTATGTTATGAAAAGACAATATTTGAATATGGAAGTTAGATAAGAGGATTTTACAGACATATTGATCTGATAAAAATATTGATGTGCATAAGAAATGTTAATTTTATTTGGAAATTATGGATAACCGGTTTTAATCCTAGGAGAGTTTATGGAGGATACTAGAAGTCTGTTAAGAGAACCGTTTCAAGATCAGAGATTGTTCAAGAAAGCAATTAATCATAGGATCTCTAAATTATATTATTTTCGCTAAGAGCTAATATCAAAATTATCTGGTTAAGAAATTACGAAAATTCCCTTGAGAGGTAAAATAGTCAGAGTTGACCATGAAGGAGAAAGTACTTTGAGGATTTGTACTTAACTCGATTAAGTACAAATTTAATTATTAATATTCTGTCTTTGTAAAGAAAAATTCATAATATTGCGTTTGTAAAATCCGAGAAGGCACTTGACCCGAAAATATCCAAGTTATGAGTAAATACCTGAAGAACAATTTATCGGAGGGTGCTCTTTTATCAGAATTGTTCGAACGGACTGGAATAGATAATAAATTATAATTAAATAATAAGACCGGATAGAGAAAAAAGATTGAAATACCATGGATCTGTAAAATGACCAAAATACCCCTATAATGTAAATGACCCAAGAATATCACCAAGCTCAGGAATGATGGGATATCCTTGAGCTCTGTTATGATTGGAATAAAACTAAAAACCAAAATGACCAAAATACCCTTATGGTCTATATTAAGTAAATGTCTTGGATTAATTAAGGAATCCAAGTAAGCATAGGTATTGGACTACCTTTAAAGGTAATGGAAAATAATTTAAGTGAGTAGATCAACCCTAAAGCTATGTCAATACCTGAATGACATAGATATTACTGGAACATGTGTTCGTATTCTCAAGTTTGGCTCGATGATAAATTTTGGAAGTATTCAGCTCAGCTCAGCTCTAGATCGTATTCAGTACTAGGAATTGGACGTTTGTTCGACAAATCAACCACGAATACCAAATTGAATAGAATGGAAGTACAATATATATCTGAAATACAGGAACGCTTGTATTACTCTGGAAAATCCCGAAGTAACTAGAATGGACTTGAATGATAAATGAACTAAGTAACTTCAATGACTGAGGATTAAGTAAGTGATTAGGATAAGCCTGGAAATTCGGATGAATTTACATGATGTATCGTCCTTATAGAACATGAACTACAAATCAAGCACGTCAGTATTTCATGATATCGTGGAAGCTTGGAAGTGAAATAAAGACCATTGGAATATCTATTCAGCTATGATTCTGAAGATGATCTATGGACAATAATTTGTGGTATTAAAGAGTAAATACCCTAGAAGGAAAAAGAATTGACCAGTTGACATAGATTGTTAAGGTTCTGAATCTTCGTTCTCAAGTTGTTCGATTATCCGATCAATTAACATAGATGTAAAGGATTCTGAATACCCTTCTGATTACGTACAGCTTCTGAAAACTGTCCGAATAAGATAATATCCTGATAATTCACATTCTGAATAACTGATGATTCTGTCAGTTATTGAACTCTCCCAATAGTGATTCTAAATTCCAACATTCTATCGACATACAGAAGAACTGTGTTTCTTTGCCTGATATAGTACCTCTAAATAATACCTGTAAACTCTGGTGTGTTCCCTAATTACATGAATCTTTTATCTGATTTCAAATTTGAATTCTGATCTGATACATGACCTGGATTCTGATATGATACTTGACTTGAATTATGTTTTGATTTTTGATATATCAGTTTACGGACGGAACATGTTTTATTGGGGGGTATTGTTGGAGGAAGATTAC